GCCGGGTGTGTAGGGCTCGTCGCAGTTGAAGCACAACCCTTGGCAGCGACGCTCGAGTAGCTCGGCTGAGGTGAACCGGCGGAACGGGCGTGCCGCGGGCGCAGCAAGGGGGGCCACGGAAGCCTGAGCAGGCCGACCCTGCGCGGGAACATCTGGTCCGGGTAGCGGCCCAGCGGCCTTGGACGGTGATGCCTGCTGCATGGCCAGCGCGCGGCACTCGAACGCGCGGGCATAGTACATGGCCGTCTGGAGGTCCTGGGGTCCCTGCAGCTCGACGTCCACGCGGAGATGATCTGGCAAACCGCATACGAAGAGTTCGGCCCGCTGGTGAGCCGTCACGCTAGATGCATGGCACACCAGGGCTTGAAAGCGGTCGGTGTAGTCTTGCACCGTATAGGTGAAGGGAAGGTGGCCCAACTCAGCCAGGCGGCTCCCGCGGATCGGCGGCCCAAAACAAGGAGGCACATCTCATGGAAGCGCTCCCACGGGGGCATGCCGCCCTCGTCCTGCTCGAGAGCGTAGTACCATGTCTGGGCTACACCGTGGAGGTGGTAGGATGCCAGCCAAGTGCACTCCGACGCGAGCGTGCGCTGCCCACGGAAAAATTGGTCGCACTGGTTGAGCCAGTTAAGCGGGTCCTCCATGTCGTTATAAGTGGCGAAGTTGATCTTGGCGAACCATGGCGGCGTCTAGGTCGGCGCGCCATGGACGACTGGCTCGGCGGTGCGGAGCAGTGATGTTGACGGCGCCCGGTCAACGGTGGGGAGGCCGTTGTAGGCCCCCGCGGAGCCGGACGAGGCCCCAGACCGCAGTGTGGGTACCGATGGGTGCCCAGCCTCCGTGTAAACTGGCGATGGCGGAATCGGGGACGGTGACGGCGGAAACTGGACCTGCTGCATCGGGAGGCCCCCCAGTGTGCACTGGCCCAGTCCGGAGCTGGGCGGCGGCGGTGGAAGTTGTATCGACGTGGCCGGCGCGGTTGGCGCGGCTGGGGCCGGCGCGGGCCAGTACGGCCACTACGGCGCTGGGGTGGGCGTGGAAGGCGCGGGTGGCGCCACGAAAGTCGGCGCCGGCCACTACGGCCAGGACAGCGCTGGGGCGGCCGGCAGTGGAACCTGGACCGGAGCCGCAGGTATGAATGGCGAGGCAGGGGCGGCGCGGGCCAGGCCGGCCACTGCGAGCCCTGGGCGGGCGCGGACGGCGCAGGTGGCGCCGCGAGCGCGGGCATCAGCCATTGGGGCCAGGGCGGCGTTGGAGCTGCCGGCGACGGGAGAGCCGGGTAGCCCCCAGCGATGGCCGCGGGGACCGAGTACCACGGCAGGGCCGGTTGTCCGGAGGGGACGGCCGGCGGAAGCGGCGGTGGCGACCCGTACGGGCTGGCCAAAAACAGGCGGATGCCCTGGACCGCGACCACCAGGTCATTGAGGACACCGGCCATGGCCTCCGGAGTGTACTGGGTCGGCATGGTGGACGGTGATGGCGGCGAATCCTTGACGGGGGGCGGCGGCTGGCCAGGCGACATGCCAGGGGTGGGGGCGATCGGCAGCGACGAAAGGGCTAGCGAGGCCGCGGTGCTCGGCGAGAACGCAGCGGCGGTGGAGGAGGTGGTGGCGGCAGCGGTGGTGGTGGTGGTGGGCAGCGGCGGGTTTCGTGGTGGTGATGACATGGTCAAAACCAAGCTAGCCGATACCAAACTGGTAGAAACTAGGGTTCTACCCGATCTAGGGCGTAGCCTGTAAGGGAAGGAGGGAGGAGGGAGGAGGAGATTGCGCGGCGGCCGGCGGCTGGGCGCCGTCCTTGCGATTGGTGCGACGGCGGCGGATGCAAGAGGTGGCTAGGGTTAGGTCTCCCGGCTCCCTAAGGAAAGCCGAGCAAATACTGATTGCTTCTTTCTTGATTAGATTGATACATCTCCTCTCCTTATATAGAGAGGTTTACTTGACTCCTAAGAAAACGATAAGATAAATGGGCTAAGCCCCTAATAACGATAAGATAACTTGGGCCACAACCCACTGGGCTAAGCCCCTAATATGATGGTCATAACAAGCACACAAAGTGTTCCTCCGGTATTCGGAGTTGCATCATCTCATAGTCTGAGGAACTTGTATAAGTCATGGAGAAAGCAGTAGCAATGAAACTGACACGATCATAATGCTAAGCTAACGGATGGGTCATGTCCATCACATCATTCTTCTAATGATGTGATCCCGTTCATCAAATGACAACACATGTCTATGGTTAGGAAATATAACCATCTTTGATTAACGAGCTAGTCAAGTAGAGGCATGCTAGGGACAATATGTTTTGTCTATGTATTCACACATGTACTAAGTTTCCGACTAATACAATTCTAGCATGAATAATAAACATTTATCATGAAATAAGGAAATAAATAATAACTTTATTATTGCCTCTAGGGCATATTTCCTTCAAGGAGCGCCGGAGCCCTGGCGGGAACGAGGAGTTGGGGGAGGAAGAATGCCATTGCCACGCCCCGCGGGAGAAGAGCCAGGGCCAGAGAGCTGAGAGAGACGAGGCTTGAACTGCATGGAGGAGGAGCCCGAGAAGGAACGGGTCGGGGGACGGGAAGGGCCAGCACCGACACTAGAGGAGCGATGAGGCAGACGCTGCCACGACGGAGCCACCGGACCCCGAGCCGGAGCCGGACGCTGCCCCGAAGAGGATGAGCCAGCACCCCCGCCTGCAGCCGCCACCTCCCACGGATCCGCCGTCGGCGAGCCCGCGACGCCAGATCCAATCGCTGGAGCGCCAGATACAACCACCGCCCGAGCCTGCTCATCATGCTGAAGCAACTCCGACCCCGCCACCCACGCCTCACGGGCACGGGCCAGCTGCTCGCGTGACGCCCGCTCAAACTTCATCTTGGAGTGAAGAGTGGCCTCATAGGCTAGATCCGCCCCAGAACCAGGTGAATCCTCGCGCGAACGCTTACTCCCCGACAGGGCCTCGCATGAGGAGCCCCTAGACTTGTCCATGAAAAGGGCCGCCACGAAGGAGAGGAGGAGGGGAGGGGGAGGAGTAGATCTGAGGAAGCAACGGATGGGGAAGCGAAACTTGTGAATATCCGCGGCGGAAGCCGGAAACCCTAGAAACGGGGGAGAGGAACCCCTCCTCACCCATATATAACCTGACCGAGCCAAGCCCACTTGGGTCGGGCCAGCCAACTGGGCCGCAGAAGAGGTGGGAGGGACAATGGCCACTACCAACTGTCCAAGGCCCACCCGGGGGAGGGGAGGAAAGGCAGCCAACGAGGCCAAAGGGGGAAAACCAGGTTGCGACCCATAGGCCAACACAGGATCCACCAGGCCCACCCGAGCCCGAGGCCCACTAGCGCCCACAACCCGATCCCGATCTAGGGTTACCACATCCGTCGCCCACCCAGCGCCGGATGAGCCAGGCGGCACCCGCGCCGCCGCTGTGGCCAGAGAGGAGGAGGAAACCGCGGACAGACGCATCAGACTCCGGAGAGCAGAGCAGGCCGGCGGCTACCACCATCCCCGCAGGCAGAACGACAGGGGAACCACCAGCCAGAGAGGGAGCAAGATGCTTACCAGATTTGCGACGGCGGCGACCAACCCGTAGCCAGCCAGATCCCTCTTCTGGCGAAGCCACCGGCCCGCCCCGGCCCCCAGGAGCAAACTTCCGGGGGCGCACCGATGCCCTGGCGGCCAGCGGCGGCACCGACGAGCCCCTCGCCGGAGCAGCCTCTGAATTAGAGGAGGAATCCTCATCCGCGACGAGCGCCCAGAAGCGAGAACCAGGCGGAGCCGAACCCGAAGCACGGACACCAGACGCAACGAAAGCGAGGAGGGAGGAGGAGGCGGAGGGGGCGACGGCACGGTGGGGGAGGACATCGGAGGGGAGCGAGGCGGAGCAGGAGGGGAGCGACGGAGGGGGGACGGGGAAGGAGGAGGGGAGAGAGGAGCCATCCAAGGCTACGTGTTTCGCAGTTGCAATCAGTCAATTCAATTTCATGTCGGTCAACTCTCCTTCCACCAATGTGATGGTGCGTCTAGTACTCTCTCCGTTCCTAAATAGATGACCCAACTTTGTACTATCTAAATACATGACCCAACTTTGTACTAAAGTTAGTACAAAGTTGAGTCATCTATTTTGAAACGGAGGGAATAGTAATTATATGTGAACAAGTTAGTATAAAGTTGGGTCATCTATTTTGAAACGGATGGAATAGTAATTACTCCCTCCGTTCCTAAATGCAAGTCTTTGTAGAGATTCCACTATGAATCACATACGGATGTATATAGATGCATATTAGGAGTAGATTCATTCATTTTTCTCTGTATGTAGTCCACCTAGTGAAATCTCTAGAAAGATTTATATTTAGGAACGGAGTGAGTATATGTGAACAAAATGTGATTGTGCGTCTAGTGGTAACCACATGATCTATAACTTCAGCATATTCTCGTACGCACGCGGTAGAATTCTTTTATGTAGGCTAGTGTAGCTTACTGCATTTCCATTTCGGCGCTGCTTAATGTCGCTAAACAGTGCCAGCAAGTTCAGATGCATGTAATTAACCATCGCACCGCTAGAACTTTCATCTTTCACTTGTTCTTGCGTCTGTTCCAGCGGTATCTCAGCTCGTGCATTCCGCTAGCTCGTACCACGATAAATTGATAATGATGACAGGCAGCCAATGTGCTGTAGTACAACAATACAAGCTACAATTCCAAAACCTGATCAGCTGTCGAATCAACGACGTTGATTCGGGCATATGACCCATGGAATGAACCCCTGCTTCACCAACTACAAATCTTTCTTCTTCTCTCTCTCTCTCTCTCTCTTTTTTTGCGGGGGTCACCACCTACAAAGCTAACAACATATGATCAGCCTATACATTGCTACATCACTATCCAGTGATCCAATCTATACTAACGAATATATACACAAGGTAGGATACAACAGTGTACGTGTAGCCAACACATGAGGTTCAGTTCCGGGTATCAGTGAGAAAGCATCTACGAAGCGGAACCCTTCGATTGCTGAATCTCCAACGCCTGCTCCGCCACCATAATGCACGAGTCCATCTCCAAACTTGCGGCCTCGTTGTTCCCGGTGAGCGAAGGCGCTCTCGGTAACGATAGCGCGTCAGCGGTGCATTGTATGTCCGGTTGGATCCCGACATGGTCGATTTCGTGCAGTGCCGGAGAGAGATACTTTGCAACCGTGATGAATAGAGCAGAGCCATCGTCCAGCTCTGTCACGCTCTGCACCAAGGTAAGGTTTGGTTCAGTTATACATGTTTCTGGAATGAAGCGTGACAAAATCCAAGCATTTAGATCTACACAATATCATGAGTGCCTAGAGAAATCGGCCTTGCCTGTATTCTTCCTTTACCGAAGGTTTTGTGGCCTACCAGAATAGCACGGCCATTGTCATGCAATGCCCCAGCCAAAATTTCGCTTGCACTGGCACTTTCTTCGTTGACCTACACGTTGGCACACACGAACACAAGCGAGAGGCCTCGCATAAAAAAACAGTTTCACTTATTTTATAAATGAACGTTAACAAAGAAACATTCGTGTGATGCTGGTATTTGAGGAAAACAAATATTGCAGTATTAAAACAAAAATCATATGTAACTGTGCTCATTTGCAAATGAGGAAAAACAAACAAACATTGCAATATTTAAACAATAAGCATATGTAACTGTGCTCATTTGCAAATGCAAAAAAAGAAACATATAAATTTTGGAGATTCATCCAATGTTAACTACTCCCTCCGTCCGGAAATACTTGTCCTAGAAATGGATAGGACAAGTATTTCCGGACGGAGGGAGTACTTGACTTGACCTAATGGTCAGGTCTATATTTCTGCTTCAAAAGTAGTCTCACTAAGTGAGAAATAAGTACCCCGTCCAAATTTATACGGCCTACTAGAATTTTGAGCCTAACTTTGACTAACAAAATATGAGTTATATGTTGTAAAAAGTATTACTAATGGATTCTCATTCGAAAGAAGTTTCCAATAGTACAAGTTTCATAACATACAACTCATATTTTATTAGTTAAATTTAAAATCGAAGTTAGCTCAAAACTTGAGGGGCCTCTCTATATTTGGACAGAGATAGTACTATATTTGGACAGAGATAGTACCTTCTGTGAGGTATTGTAAGTTTGTGGTTTTACTCTTTTTTCTTAGGAGAACTAAAACATCATGATTAAAAGCTGAACTAGCAGTGAAGCAGCACCTCTATTCTGCTTGCTCTTTATGAAAGAGGGGAAACATGATGGAAGAATGTGAATCTGATGAATAGTAAATTGTATGCATTTTCTACCCATGCGGATTAAAAAAGCAATAAAGACCACATAGTCAAATCTGCAGAGAGCTTTTTTTGAAAAGAAATGTGCAGAGAGTGGGTACTCACAAGCACCACAAGAGGATCATGTGTTAAAGATTGGCCTTGGACCATATTTATTGCTTGCACATTGCCCTCACGGTCAACGGTGTTCACTAGAGTTTCATCTCCATCTAACCAAATTTGAGCCACGTCAAGACCAGCTGTTACTAAACCACCCTGTTATAGGAAGTAACATTAATACATGATTTTTGCATTGAAATTATAATTTATAAAGACAGACTGTGATGAGAACAGACTGACTGGATTATTCCGCAGATCTAAAATATATGACTGGACACCTTGATCTTCCATCTTTTTAATGGCCCTTCCCATTTCAGCAGCAGCAGTCTGGGTTGAAAAATAAATAAAACATGAGTGAAGGATCTCAAATATCAGTAATAATATTTGCAACTTTGGCAAATTCATTAGCATCAAAATAATCAAATCAATATTAGATTGAAAATAAAAATAGTCGATGTTTTACAATATTACTCCATCCGTTTCTTTTTACTCTTCATGTAAGATTTGTTTGAAGTCAAACTTCGTAAAGTTTGACCAACTTTATAGGAAAAATATCAACATTCACAATACGAAATCATCATTAGATGCATCATGAAATTAATTTTCATACTGTATACGTTTATTATTGCTGATGTTGATATTTTTCAATATAAATTTGGTCAAACTTTACTAAGTTTTGACTTCAGACAAATTTTATATGTGGAGTAAAAAGAAACGGAGGGAGTATCTTGAAGATGGGCAATAAATTCTGAAGTTGGAGAAGATATCGGTGCTGGATTAGTTTGGTGAGTTTGGGTGTGTATAGATGATAGAAGAATAAAACATAACATATGCATGCACATTGGCATGGAACAACCTATCGCTTGGATCCATTTTTCAGTATGACTGGCAGCTGGAATACTCAAAACAGCAGGAATGTCTTTGGTATGATAATGTCGCGTAGAAAGCAATGAAAGAGCCATATAGTTTTGTACTAAGAAGAAGTATAAAATTACAACTTTGCTTATCTATAAAAAACTGCAAGTGCAAAAATATAACAAAGATTGGTCCTTACCTGAGAAAATGCAGCTAACCTAACATACCCAGTCTTGCCCTCATGCCCATCACCCGATCTATGGGAAATAATTGCCGTTGATAGAGGTGAAAGATTGATAACCTCACGAGATAGCTGGACCTTTCGGAAATAAAATGTGCACTTGTAATTAGGAAAGTACAATATCATATGCTTAATGTGGGATACTGAACAAATCTTGGATTAAATTGAATAATGCAACACTTTTCATTTCCAGTAATAGGCTATGGGTGCAATCAATGCAAGATGGTAGCACAGGATAAATACAACCGGTTTGGATGGCGGTCCAATAATAGGCTATGTGTGTAGGCATATTTTCCTATTTTTGCCGGTTGTGGCTTGTAATAATTTTTGGTACTACTTGATGTTGGAAACCGGGACTCTTAAACTTTAATAAAATATGGCTGTGTGCATCGAAATGATGCAGAGGCCGGGGGTGATCCTCCTTTTCTTAAAAAAACACTTTTCAAATCACACAGATGGAAAATGTTAGCCATGAATGTTTGAAGAGGAAGTCCAGAAATATGTTTTCGTTCAAGGAGGATAAGAGAATCTAAATACATAGTGTTGATGTTATTACGTGTTATTTACTGCATTTGTCTTCAGGAAAGTATTTATTACGTAATGAAAAGAAGTTAGGCATATACCTCTTTTTGCTTTATCCTACCACTCCTTTCATTTCCAGTACCCTGGGTATCAGTTAGAAAATACAGGAAGATGGAGAAAGTTAGGATAGAAGATGACAAAAGTGTGTAACTGAGAATCTGGATGTGATCATTACGTAACGGAGAGTTAGGATTGAGAAATGTTGCTTTTGAAATACAGATAGAAAAACACTAACAAGTACTCCCTCTGTAAAGAAATATAAGAGCATTTAGATCACTAAAAGTGATAAGTGATCTAAACGCTCTTATATTTCTTTACAGAGGGAGTACTTCTCAAGTTGAGGCTAAGAATAAGGGCATACATCCAATAGTTTTACTTCCACAGTCGTTCCAGCACGACCTCTAAGTCTCTGAGCCACAGCTTCCACGTCCAACCCCAAAACACTATTCCCTACAAAACCAGTCAAGATTAAGGGCATATCGTATTATGAAAAGAAGGAGAGCTCGTGAACTCAATAATAACAACAATACTGCACCATCCACCTTAAGACTAGTTAAAAATAGAAGGTTCCACCCTTTTAGTTAGAAAACGACAATCAATCAGGATGTACCGCTCATCTGTGACATCAGCAGATAAGCGTAGTATGTGAACATATGCTACTAATCTCTGCATTGCTATGCTACTTTCGCGGGGGAGAAAAAACTAGTTCTTGAATCTAGAACAACTTGGTTTTCCAATGATGGAAAAGGAACTCAAGAAGATTAGATTAACTAAGTTTTTTTTGCAAAGGTTAAATTGCAGAGGATACATTTTTTTTGCAAAGACATCATTCTGCCTTAATTGTTCAGAGACACGTGTGGGTCATATTATTGATCGACACCATAGAGTTCATACTTTTGGCAATTTTTCTTTAGTTTCGGTCATTTGTTAATAGATAGAAAGGGCAATAAAAAATCTATTAGTTGGGATAATCGACTAGCCTCTGTCATCTTTAAATATTATCAGCTGTGACCAATGAACATTGTTGTTTTTATAGCCTTCTCGACGGTCAATATCAGCCGAAAAATTCAGTATATGTTGTTTAGCCAGATAGGTCATCAGTGTGTGACTCAGATTTATATGAATTTACAGGGAAGGCTTTTCAAAAGTACGTAGTATCTCCTTTTAGTAAAATGAAGTTTTAGTACAGAGAGTAAAATACCATTGATCTCAACTAGCTCATCGCCTTCACGTATGCCCGCTCGGTCGGCTGGGCCTCCCTCAATGCGGTTCATAACAAGCTGCAACAAGTTTTGGAGATATAAATTGCAACACTCTTATGATGTCCTCTTACAGAAAAAGAAGTGAACTTACCAAGCGTCCTGAGGCAGGGTCCCTATTTATGAATATGCCAACCCCTTGCAAATTCCCATCACTTCCGATCCTGAAACTCTGATATTCCTGCATCTCATCAAACAAACATTAGCCATGTGACAATTCACCATGTGTGAGAACAAACCTGAAGCCAGATAGCGAGGGCATGATCTTTGTCCATACATACCTTGGGGGTGATGATCCTTGTGAAGGGGTCGCCTAGCGTGGACACCATCCCACTGATCTTGCCGTAGGCGGCGTCTGCTGATTTCAGCGGGAACATCTCCACCATCGTCTGCTGAAGTTTCTGGTCCCAGTCTGCACACCGAGCAGAACCACAAACACTAGTGAATTCACTAGTTCACTATAAGCAGCATCAAACACTACCAAATTCACACAATTTCTACCTTTCTACAGAGAACAAGTGTATGCAACCCGGTATACCTTGGTGGTTGAAGGTGGGATCGACGAAGGTCTCGCGGATCAACCCCCATGCCTCCACCAGCGTCCTCTGCACCCGGTTCACCTGCCAAGAACCCAAAACAAGAAATTCACCCCCAAACCCCCCTTTCTTGGAAGATGGTGTCTGTGGTAGGACCATGGAGACCCACCTCTCGGGCCTTGGAGACGGGGAAGGCGACCGTGAGCGACTCGGCCAGCGCCGGCGGCGGGGCCAAGTCCCCGGCGAAGCCGGTCAGCGACACCACGGCAGCGGCAGCGAGCCCCGCAGCCGCCTTCCCCAGCGCCCCACCGTCGCGCTCCGGCGGCGCGGAGGCCCTGACGACCGGCGGAGGCTGCTCCCGCCTCTCCGACCGCACCCGGAGCCTGGCTCTCCCGGCGCCAACACCAAGAACCGGCGCCGGGGACCTCGGGACCCGGCCGGGCACGTGCCTCGCGGCCAGGGAGCACTCAACCATTTCCATGGACGCGAGCAATCACGCAATGCGGCAACGGGGACGGGCGCGGGTGGGCTCGGGGTGCCCGGGAGCGCGCGAGATATAAACCCGCCGGAGTCCACGAGAGGAGCGATGAAGCGGGAGGAATCTTTTTGCCTGTTTCCGCTGGGTTTTGGTGGACAGGAGGAGATCCGTGCCGGGGATCTCTGCGTGGCCTATTCAGGCCTGGACACGTCTCTCGGTCCAGCATTTGCGTGGTGGTGGGCGCAACAAATATGCAGAGGAATATGCAGCCGCGCCCTGAATTTGTGATGTGCAAAACCGGCAGGGGAAAATGCTGCAAAGTGCACAAATATTATGGGAAAGCCTATAAATCACCGGCGGATCGCAGCCACTTTCTCTGCAAGCCGCGTGTCCCATGGGTCATCGCCATCACTACTAGTTTTTGCTCTTGTTTTTTTTTTTTGCGGGTGGTAGTTTTTGCTCTTGTTGCAATTTCTCTCATCGCAACAACGGCTCTGTTCACCTGAAAAAAAAGGCTCTGTTGCAGGATCTGGATCCGTGAGACAAGTCCCCTCTCGTGCTTCTGCCAAGCTCTCGTTGAGTCCGCCGCCTCCCCGTGCTGCCCCGACTGCCTCAACCTCCTGTCGAGTCGCCGCCTCCCCATGTTGCTCTGACTGCCGTCACCGGCGCTCGCCGCTGGCATGCTTCTCTGGCGAGATGCACGTTGCCGCAAGGCGTGCAACTAGAGAGACCGAGCTCCCCCGTCAAGCTGTCGCCTCTCCGTTCTGCTCCGACCGCCGCCACCGTCGCTTGGCGCCAGCAAACACGCCGACGGGCTTCTCTAACAAGCTACTACCACTAGAATGCTCTCTGCAACATGTTTATTGTTGCAAAAGTTCTCTGTAACATGAGCTCTATTGTAAAAATTACGGTAGAAAATGGTCAACAACGTTTTCTGCAACACATTCTCTATTACAAGTATTTTCTGCAACATTACCTTTGTTATAAAACTTTTTACAAAAATAAATGAATTCTCGGAGGTGGTTGCAACAACCATGTTGTTGCATAAGGCCTTCCTCAACACCACTCATGTTTCTAAAGAGGTGGCTGCTTACGTGGATAGATCAAAAGCCATTAACGTGGCCATCTAATGGTCAGCGAGGCAGCGAATATTTTCTTATTATCCGCTGGCCGACCCGTCGAGTGGCCCAAAATATTATTGGTTATTAGAAATATAATGAGAAAATTCCATATAGTAATCCAAACGACAAAACTGTAAGATTTCATAGGATATTTTCCCCTTAAGAACTCATTTGTACAATCTTATGTGAAGAATAGACGGAGTATCAGGTGGTACAGGACGTCAGGTGCTCCCATGATACGAGACAACATGGGTCATCAGATCTGTGATCCAAGGATGATAGGACGAGCTCCTGGACTTGCGCATACATATCTGATTTGTTAAGAGCTTTTCTGAAAACTTGCAAGAGCTCATCATGTAACCCTTAGATCATAGATCCAATGGCTTACGTCCTCTCGTATCAGCGGAGCATCTAGCCTCCAGTATCACCTAATACTCTCTCGTGAAGAATACTACTATGCTTTTTTCGGAATAATCGAACTACCATAGAAGTTGCGCATGGGCAGGCGCAAGTGAAACCGCGCAGCTGTTTTCCAGAGAAAAAACCTCTAGTTGCACGTGCATTGGGGCGCATGTGTTTTTTGAGAAATACTTTCAATCTATTCATCAACTGTCGATGTAGTACAAAAAACACTAGAAGTAAAGATTACATCCAGATCCATAGTCCACATAACGACGACTAGAAGCACTGGAGTAAACCGAAGGCGCGCCGCCGTCATCGCCCCTCCCTCACCGGAGCCGGGCAAACGTGTTGTAGCAGACAGTCGGGAAGTCATCGTGCTAAGGCCCTACAGGAACAACCGCCGCCGCCGATGAATAGAAGCGTAGAACAGAAGGATTCAACCTGTAGACACACGATCACTGATGAACGAAGATCAAATCCATGTGTATCCACTTTAGGAAAACGCTGAAACGATGCTCTCAAACGATGCAAGAAGCACCGCCGGAACGGGGACTAGGGGGAAGAACCTTATTCCATCTAGAAAGAGCCGTCACTGCCTCGTTTTTCTGAGTAGGACACAAACCCTAACAAACTTAGAAAAAACATTAGAAAACGGAACCCTGCCGCCGGCAAAGGCTGGGGTCCATCGCGTCTCCATGACCCTAAGACCACAGAGGACGAGACAGACTGACAGCAACGCCGCCGGGAGGCACATGCCAAGCGTTGGTGGCGGCAAGGAGGCGAGTTACAAGAGAGATCCGTCGTCAGTCCTACATGTGATTGCACTTTTTCACATGGTACAATTGAAGTTGCTCATGTACACAAGTATAAACTCACCTTATGAAGAGGCGCACACATACCTTACCCTATGAGCACCTCAACTAAGCCAACATAGCATTTTGAGATTGACGAAGTCGGTATAGACGTTTCATATTCGACGAAAATTCTCCTCTCACTAAACGAACATCGCCGTAAAGTCTAAAATAAATCTAGAAAAATGTGAGTACCAATATCAAATCTAGGACTTGAACTGTCACGGGCTGGGAATACCATTGTCCACCTAACCATCCAACCACAGGTTGGTTCCATGTGATTGCACTTGTTGGGAAACGTAGCATGTAATTTCAAAATTTTCCTACGATCACCCAAGATCTATCTAGGAGATGCATAGCAACGAGAGGGGAAGAGTGTGTCCACGTACCCTCGTAGACCGAAAGCCGAAGCGTTATTTAACGCGGTTGATGTAGTCGAACGTCTTCACGATCCAACCGATCCAAGTATCGAACGTACGGCATCTCCATGTTCAGCACACGTTCAGCTCGATGACTTCCCTCGAACTCTTTATCCAATAGAGGGTCGAGGGAGAGTTCCGTCATCACGACAGCGTGGTGACGGTGTTGATGATGTGATCTGTGCTACCTCTTGAGCACTGCGTTGGATTTCCCCGAAGAGGAGAGGATGATGCAGCAAAGTAGCGTAAGTATTTCCCTCAGTTTTTGAGAACCAAGGTATCAATCCAGTAGGAGACCACGCACAAGTCCCTCGTACCTACACAAAATGATAGCTACTCACAACCAACGCGATTAGGGGTTGTCAATCCCTTCACGGCCACTTACGAGGGTGAGATCTGATAGAGATGATAAATAATATTTTTGGTATTTTTGATAGATAGATGCAAAGTAAAAAGTAAAAGGCAAAGTAAAAACAAAGCAAGTAAATAAAGCGATAGAGATTGATATGATGAGAATAGACCCGGGGGCCATAGGTTTCACTAGTGGCTTCTCTCAAGAGCATAGATATTCTACGGTGGGTGAACAAATTACTGTTGAGCAATTGACAGAATTGAGCATAGTTATGAGTATATCTAGGCAATGATCATGTATATAGGCATCACGTCCGAGACAAGTAGATCGAAACGATTCTGCATCTACTACTATTACTCCACTCATCGACCGCTATCCAGCATGCATCTTAGAGTATTAAGTTAAAAACAGAGTAACGCCTTAAGCAAGATGACATGATGTAGAGGGATAAATTCATGCAATATGATAAAACCCCATCTTGTTATCCTCGATGGCAACAATACAATACGTGCCTTGCTGCCCCTGCTGTCACTGGAAAAGGACACCGCAAGATTGAACCCAAAGCTAAGCACTTCTCCCATTGCAAGAACTACCAATCTAGTTGGCCAAACCAAAAAGGATAATTCGAAGAGACTTGCAAAGATAACTCAATCATACATAAAAGAATTCAAAGAAGATTCAAATATTTTCCATAGATAATACTGGATCATAAACCCACAATTCATCGGTCTCAACAAACACACCGCAAAAAGAAGATTACATCGAATAGATCTCCACGAGAGAGGGGGAGAACATTGTATTGAGATCCAAAAAGAGAGAAGAAGCTGTCTAGCTACTAGCTATGGACCCGAAGGTCTGAAGTAAACTACTCACACTTCATCGGAGGGGTTATGGTGTTGATGTAGAAGCCCTCCGTGGTGGATGCCCCCTCCGGCGGAGCTCCAGAACAGGCCCCAAGATGGATCTCGTGGATACAGAAGGTTGCAACGGTGGAATTAGGTTTTTGGCTCCTGTTCTGATCGTTTGGGGATACGTAGGTATATATAGGAGGAAGGAGTACGTAGGTGGAGCAACAGGGGGCCCACGAGGTAGGGGGCGCGCCCAGGGGGGCGCGCCCTCCACCCTTGTGACCGCCTCTGGCACTTCTTGGAGTAGGGTCCAAGTCTCCTGGATCATGTTCGGTGAGAAAATCACGTTCCCGAAGGTTTCATTCCATTTGGACTCCGTTTGATATTCTGTTTCTTCAAAACACTGAAATACGCAAAAAACAGCAATTCTGGGCTGGGCCTCCGGTTAATAGGTTAGTCCCAAAAATAATATAAAAGTGGAAAATAAAGCCCAATATAGTCCAAAACAGTAGATAAAGTAGCATGGAGCAATCAAAAATTATGGATACGTTGGAGACGTATCAATCCGCGCAGAGCTTCGCCTAAGCACTACGATGCTATGACCGGAGGAGTAAACTGTGGAGGAGGGCACCGCACACGGCAAAGAGAACAATTGATGTTGGGTGTTCTAGGGTTCCCTCTTGCCTCTGTATATAAAGGAAGAGATGAGGAGGCCGGCCGGCCCCTATAAGGCGAGCCAAGAGAGAGGAGTCCAACTAGGACTCCAAGTCCTAGTAGGATTCCCTTTGGTGGAAGGGGGAGAAGGAAGGGAGAGGGAGAGGGAGAGGGAAAGGGGGCCGCCCCCTCCCCTAGTCGTATTCGGACTCCCCGTGGGGGGGCACCCCCTTGTGGGCTGTCCTCTCCCCCCCCCTATGGCCCATGATGGCCCATTGCTTCCCCGGGGTGTTCTGGTAACCCCTCCAGCACTGCGTTTTTACCCGGTACCTCTCAGAACTCTTCCGGTGTCCGAA